CAACAGGTCCAGCTCCAACAGCAAACACAAACAGTTCCTGCCTTCCTTTTTAAATCAGAGCTCATCTGACCCACAGCAAATAAACAAAAACAAATGTACATCATATACAAACACACTGTGGATATTTTGAACACGTGTTTTAAATCATAAAAAGTCCAAATGTCCAACAGGTAACAAAACAAACAACGTGCAGAGTTCTTCTTCTGTGAGGAGACCAGCTTCAGATTGTCATTGCAATAAATGCACCGGGACGGTAATCTTACTAAAACGTTTGGCACAACAGGTCCTGCAGAGGATTAGCTGAATTCAGAATGCTTTTTATCCTTTGAACAACGATCAGATTACTTCTGAACAACGGGGCCAGAGAGCGTCTTCCTTTGTTTAAAATCAGTGACACTTCGTCTCTCAGCTTTCTGACTTCACAGAGGTCAAAGGTCGACACCTTGAATGTGATTTACTCACAGTCGTGTACTTCAGTAGTGAATCTGTCAGCCAGACCTGAGCTCACGTCCTCGCCCGTTCACTTTTTATTATACAATTATTATTCTTTTAAAGTAACAGCAGAACTGACACACACACACATTCCTGGCCAACCACTGGCTCACCTCAGACAGGACTGAACACACCTGAGCGAAACAACAACAGAGAAAGACCACAGAAGTATGTGTGTAAGTGTGAGCGGACAGTCCAGTTCAGCAGGTGTAGAGAGGTGTCGTCGTGTTGTGTGTTTAAACAGGGACAGGGCCGGTTTTTGGTTTATTTACGGCGTCAAAGTCCCCTGGAAGCCTCTCAGACGTGTTTCAGCAGCGCAGCGTGCGGCTGCCCCACGTTAACGACTTCTTTTTATATGGTGTTTGTGCTTCTACTACATTCTCACAGCTCTCTGTGGCTCGCTTTCATTCATCATCTTGACGGGTGCATCTAGCTACTACCGCAGGGAGCATTTCAGAATAAGAGCGTTTTGACTGCCGGATTTTGCCGACACGTTTAGATTTTGTTGATTTGGTGATTAATTCTTGCGTTTTGTGCTTCTCCTATGATTAAACAGTTAAATTGTTTCTTTTTTGTCTGATTTAACTGTGTTTATTGTTGATAAACGATCGGAGGTCTGCACCGGGTATCTTATTTTGAAAATTGACCGGATTCTGTGCCGTTTCTGTGTCTCACTTCCTGCCCAGCTCATCTGCGCTGTGCTGCTTGACACTGCAGCTCTTCTTCATTTAGTAGAGTGGCTGCGATCAGCTCCGGCAGCAGCGACGCAGACGGACTCAGTGGACTTTTGGAGCGAGTCCGGGGTCATATGAACTTGGTTTAAATGACTTTGTAGCAGGTGCCCCAGGCAGGAGGGTTCCTATTCCCTGAGTGTTGACTGCTATCAATAAACTGTGGGATAAATGAAGTGCATGCGATATTACGTCCACCTCACAACAAACTGCAGTTCTGATCTGACACAATATAAACAACAATTATAACATTATTTATATAAATTACTATCACTATCCCGGGGATGGATCGGGGGCGTTCTTCCTGTTGAGTTTTGTAAAACCTTCAGGAACGAGCTTGGTGGAGATCTTTTGGATGTTTTTAATAAAAGTCTGCCTCTGAGCTGCAGGAGAGCTCTGATACTCTGCTGCCAAAGAAGGGAGACTGGTGTGCAGTCTCTCCTCCTCTGCTCGATCTTGTCCGAGGTTCTGGCTGACAGGCACATGATGGATGAAGTCCTTTACCTGGATCAGCCTGCCTGGTGGCTCCATCACAGACAACGTGGCTGTAATCGGGGAGGTTCTGGACGGTTCTGATTCTCTGGGTTCTGACTTTGGTCTCATTTCGTTGAAGATGACTGGGGGGCTCTGTCTGAAGGATTTACCCAAGAGGTCCGGAGTTCATGGTTTGGTTTTACCAGGTTTTAACGCGACCTCATGGTCCTGGAAAGAAATCTGGCTGAAGTTGATATTTGTGGCGAAACGGTGTCTGACTTATTTCTGCTGCCGAGGTAAACTGGAGGAACAGTGGAGCTCCAGCAGTTGGAAACCCAGTCTCGTTTGGGGGGGTTGGGATGGAAAGAAGATGGTATGAAGTGTCTGTGTGTCTATCTTGGCGAGGAAGAGGCTGGTCAAAGAAACTGCGAGGGCGTGACAGATACCACGACAGGAAATGGCTACTCTGTCAGATGTCTTTCAGAGGAAGGAGCCCCCTGCTGGTTTACTTCCAAAATTACAGGCAGCTTTTGTGGACTTTTTTAGGGACAACTTACAGTGGGGTACGTCGGAGTGTGCTTTATTTAAGTCCCGGAGTCCCAACATTTTCCCTCCAATCTGCAGAGGAATCTCTGACTGGTTTTAACCTGCTGTGGAAACAACAGACTGACAGGGACTTTCTATCGGATGAACTCTGAGGCAGTGGCTGCACTGATCGGCCTGAAATCTGTTCATCACGTGCGGAGCATTTTGAATGGTTGACAGAAGCAGATGATGAACTGTTGAAGATGTACTGGGACGGCGAGGAAGCGCCGGACCAAGAGGACCCTTTTCCAGAGTTTAGACTGTTGTTCTGGTTTATTGTTGGACGCCAAACCGAGAAAAGACTCATAGTGTGACTCGTGTTCAAAACAGGTTTAATGGACACGGTGTGGAGCAGGCCTGGAGAGTCTTGGAGGTGCCTCACAGAGGAGGATCCTACACTGAGCTGTTGCAGTGAAATCTTTTACCTGTGTGATTAATCACTCTGTGTTTATTGTGTCGTAGACTGCAGGAGACTCTGGGAACTCTGGGTCAGAAACTGCTTTCATTGTTGGAGCGGGGTCCAAGAAGAAGGGAAGGCATTCTGTCAGAGACAGTGGTGTCATTTACACTGCGGATGTAAAATGGCTGATCTTGTCCCCCGCTCTCACTTTCTCACCAAGAAATGGAAATGTTTTGAGAAAGGTTTATTTGCACAATAATAAAACCATGCAATACAATTTAAATCTAGAAGAAAGAAACCTGCATTGTCCAAACAAGATAAAATAACTTAAGCTAAAAAAACAAACCTACTGATTCTCAAATGAGCCAAAAATCCCACCACGGCTTCTTCTTGTCCCTGTGAACATGACAAACTGCAGTTGGTTTGTGACGTCTTGTCTTCTGTGTGTTAGAAGGCAGTTTAACATCTGCATGTAATGTTGATTTATTAACAGTGTGACTGTTGTGAAGTTGTTTCACTGGTTATCGCGGGACGAACTTGACCTGGTGCTTTCTGCACAGGAGATTCTGGTTCTGGAGTTGGGGATGTGATGGATGACTGTTGGATGTTACTTTTACTTACGTTTTATGCTGAGTATTTTCACATTGTCGACTCTGTAGCAGCCTACACCTTTTTTTATGCAACTTCTCTCGACCCGCCTAAAGACCTCACACCGATCCCCCGTTACATTTACTAAACTCATTTTCTGACGACCGTTTGAAACGCTTCTTCATCTGAGCCCTTATGTCCACACGACTTTTCAACATAAAGTGACGCCCTTGGCCACAAGGCACTCTGTGTGTGTGTGTGTGTGTGTGTGTGTTTCACTGTGATTTTCTGCAGGAAACGTTCCTTTAAAGGAGCAGTCCGTGATGTCAGTCACAAACTGTTGTGTTGGCATTGAGGCCGAAATCTCAGAGACAAACTAAACTGAACTATCTGCATGGAGGGAACCAGCAGTCAGACCCGTACATGTTTTATTTCCGCTGCAAAGGTAGGTCTGATTGACAGGGGTGTTGGATAGGAGGTGGTGGGGGGGGGGGGGGGGTCCTGGGCCCTCACGTGAGGAGGGGCGCGGCTATCGGTGACAGGTGAGGCTCTCTGCACCTGCCACCTCTGAAATGTGTCAACAAACTAAAGAGAGAAGCGTGTCAGTCTGTTGGCCAACACTCACCGTCGTCTTCTTCTTCTTCTTCTTCTTCTTCTTCTTCTTCTTCTTCTTCTTCCAGGGGAAGATGCTGCAAGCGGTAAAACACTTTCCCAACGAGTAACGGCCAACCGCCTCTGCACACACACACACACACACACACACCAGACGAGTATTTATAACCTGCAGCCGGACGGAGGATCAGATGAAATAAAGACAGCAGCCGTGTGTAAACCCTGTTGTTGTTGTTCGGAGCAGCAGGCAGATGGGCTCAGAGATTAGATCTGACCTCAGATCAGAGCCGCCGCTGTTATTTAAGCTGCGGTGGGCCGCGGCTGCACGCTGGTGTAACAGCCAGACCTGCTGGAAGGACCGGGGGTGTGTGTGTGTGTGTGTGTGGGGGGGGGTTACTGCATGAACTGATAGGAGCTGAGGATGATGGGAACCACAGACACCCCCTCATCACACCCCCCTCCTCATCTTGCGGCGTGGACGGCCACAGGAAGCATGCGGGCCCTGCAGGAGCTGAACAACAGCACAACACACTTCCTCTTTTTCGTGGTCTCTAACACACTCACACACTCACACACTCACACACTCACACACCATCTTACATAAGAAACTCTCCATAATAAACTTGCAGCGTATTTTAACCTCCTCGCTGTTGAGATTTCACAAGAAGAAGAAAGGTTGATTATTAAAGTGTTTTTCTGGGTAGACGCACTTTTCATCTAAAAGTGTGTTTTGAAGAAAAGGAGGACTGTAATGTTTTGTATTGTTGGTATTCCACGTGACAGATCAATATATTTTATAACCACTCTGATGAAGGCGAGCTAACGTCCAGCTGCCCCCCCCCCCCCCCCACATTAAAAGCATATCAAATACTAATAGAATCACTCGAGTCTGATGCTAAACATTAGCTTCTTAAAATGAGCAAAGGAAAGCTGCACAGCCACCTGCCTGCTGTTCATACCACCTGGGACAGGTGTTACAGATCAGACCAAGAGAAGAAGCCTGAGGCCACAAGAAGTCCACAAAATCAAGAAATCCTCCAGGACAAACCTGAGAAACACACAGGTAACAGCACAAAACAACTTCCATTCAACAAGAAAAAGACAGCAGACTACAAACCTGTATGTTTATGGTTTATTTGACAGGGACAGGTACAATATGATGCAAGTATCACTGTGTTTACAGCAGATGCACCCGTCCAGGGCTTTTTGTGGGAAAAAAAAGAGAGTGAGGTAACCTTTGCCAAGTCTCCTTCGAAAAATAGAATTTTAATCTCAAGGCACTTCCTGGTTAAAAAATAAATAAATAACACACTTTTAATAGGAATTACAGAAGACTAGGAGCACACGTGTGTTGCTGAATTAAAAAGGAGATGGAAAGTCTCTTAAAGGTGGTGAAGTTTGCAGCAGATTTTCAGTATTTAGGTAGCGAGTTCCAGGACTTTGACAGTAAAAGCTGGTCTGGGCAAAAGTTGTTTTGCAGAATGAACCTTTACAGTTCCCGCATGAAGACAAACCCGCCTCCCCATGAAGCATCGTGTTGCTCTGCGGCTGCTGGAGGAGAAAAGCTTGATGTGATGACGTGTTGATGTGTTCACAGTTTGTTTCTGCTGAAAACAATAAAAACATCAGTTACTGCAGGTTTAAGTCACTAAACTGAGTTTTACTAATCCTGCAGGGTTGAAGCTCACTGAGCCGTGACCTCTGACCTTTAGGCTGTTTGTTGGTGGTCTGATGTGATTTCTGCTGAACTCATCATTTCCCTGATGAGAAGCTGACTGACTGATCGTTTTTCTCAGTGACTCATCCTTCAAAACATGAAGAGAACAAAACCTGCAACAAGTGCAGATTCTAGACTTTAACATTTATCATGAATTTAACAATCAAAAAGTCAACTGTCAGTCTGGGAGCCGCTGAAAAAACTAGAATACGGTGGAAAAGTTAATTTTGAGCATCAGAAGCAGACTGAGAGATTAAAGTTTCAGGAAACCTCTGCAGGTGTTTTGATCAGAGCTCTTCTCAGGTCGACGTTTCTGTATTATAAATTCTTTATTCTAAACTTCTAATACGTTTTGAGATACTGGAGATTTGATTTCCATGAGCTGTAATCATCAAGATTGAAATAAAACACATTTCACATTATGTGTAATGAATCTAGAATAAATGAAACTTTCACTTCTTGAATTACATTACAGACAAAAATTTACTTTTTCACGATATTTATTCTATTTATTTTAGATGTAGATTCAGCTGTAACTAAATCCTGATTTACAATTATTCAAATCATTTAATTTAGCAACTACTATTTATTTATTGTATTTTTAAACACATAAACGACAGTTATAAGAAAGCAAGTATCAAGTTTCTGATTATTAGTATTACAAAACTCAAATAGACAATGTACAAGACACTTGTGTATAAATGTATATAAACAAACAATAATAATAAAAACAAACAAAAAAGGTGGGCCACCTATACAAAATGAAGATTCACACTATTACAATGATGGCAGATATCAAAGACACATTAAAGTATACGATCACATACATCTGTACAAAGCATGTCATTAAACCAGATCAGACAGTGTACAAAGGGATGTTAGGAAAACCCAAAAAATGGCCCCCATGTTTTCCTAAAATAAGCTGACGATCCCCTCAGTGTGCAACGGATTTTCTCCGTGTTGATAAAGTAAAAATGTCCTTTATCCACATATGACAGGTTGGTGGAGTCGGGGGTTTCCACTTCACAAGAATGAGACGTCTAGCTAAGAGGGTTACAAAAGCTACCAGGTTCATCTATAATTTAGTATAGCCGGACTCCAAATAGGGCAGTAAGTAGTGAAAGAGACAGAGGTGATCAGAGGTGATCCCACCAAAAAGTGTTCAGGGAAGGGCATGCCCAAAGCATATGAAGGAAAAATGACTTCAATCATCAAATTTATCAAAAAATATATAGTTTTTATTATAATGTTCTGTCAAGGAACTAATTAATGAAACAGTTTTTGCACCAAGTCTGAACTCTGCTGCTTTCCAGACCGCTCGCAGCGCAAAACACGGCTGAGAAGCGAGCACAGCGTTAACCCCTCGGTGTTCATCTAAACAAGTGAGATAAATTTACGTTCACTGCGTTCTCGTCAAGCTACATCAGGTGCTGATCCTCAAAGGTCAGTAAATGTTGTAGCTGTTTCCTGATGTTTTCTCATTGTAAAACTTTAGTGCAGAGAAGACGACTTTCAGAGATTGGTCACTGGAACCAGCCGCCTGAGAACAATGAACATGCAGAGCAGTTGTTTTTACTATATGATAGTGTGTATTATTTTAATTAAATACTTTATGTTGCTTTTTTGTTTATGCTTCCATGGGAGCTGCCATCTCTGTGGGACGTCATTCAGCTGCCACTCGGGAAGTCTGGCTACATATTTATTAGGAACTCCAACTTCGAGTGGCGTTCCAAGGTACTTTTTCTAGCTCGAGGTCGGAAATTTCAGAGTTACCTGAACGCATCATTAGAGTCTCCAATTAAGCTCACCTGCACGAGTCAGGCGTGCGCGAGGAAACCAGCAGGAGAACACGTGCACAGGAAAACCAGCCACGATGAAGCGTCGACCAGCAGGGTGAGTGTGAGGTAGGGCTGAAAGCTGCTGACAATAAATGAAGCGGCAACAAGTCATAAAAAAGTTTCTAAAGTGGTAAACAGTCAACGTCAGTCACAAACGCAAACATCCTTGAAGAGCCTCAACCAGACGATAAAGTAAACACCCTGCCTTAAAGGAATTTCCTTCTAAGGGTCAGATGTTTCAAATCTAACAAAACTGCATTTGTAGATAACTTGCACGTTGCACACAGCATTGTTGTTCTGTTTTTTTATACTTATACGTGTTCATGTCTGGCACATAGTCACCAAAGCAAATTCCTTAGATGTGTAAAAACTACTTGGCATTAAATCTGTTTCTCCAGCTCAGACATGAGATCCATCTGAGCACCTCAATACGAGCAACAGTTCCTTTAACAAAAGAGTTTCACTCCTTAATTCAGCTCCGACGTTCCCTTTAATCTGTAAATGGGAAGTTTTCAGGCTCAAACGTTCTGCTGAGCGTCCAGACTGACTGACTCTGGATGTGAGAGAAACGGAGACAAACAGAGAAAGTCGAAGGTTTTTAATTTCAGCTTTGAGGAGAAAGTTTCCAGACGGCGATGAGAGCTGCATCATCATTCTCACGGCTTCGGCAGTCTCCGTCTTTAAGTCTTTGTTTAACGAGGAGACCGCGTCCGTCTGTGTTTGTCCGTCCGGTAAACACAGGCCTTTTGTTTTCCTGCTGCGGACACTTAAGAGGAGGTTTGTCCTGCACTTGGACTTCGGGGAAGTTATTTTCTGGTTTGTTTTGGAGGCCTTGTAAATAGTTTGTGATTTGTGGCGAGCCGAGCCGTCAGCTCCTCGTCGGGAGCGGAGAGGAGGTTTTTCCCAGCTGTCTCCATCTGTGCCCCCCCCCACTCCCCCGTCACTCTCTCCTCTTTCACATCAAAACAACATCACTCCTCTGCTGCGTGTAAACTCAGCTGCAGCGTGGCGCCGGGCCTCCTGCCGCAGGTTTGATCCCTGCACTGGACTGAAGAGTCCTGGAGAATCCTGGAGAGTCCTGAACTAGCTGGAGGCAGCTTTAAGCCCTGTGGGACGCTCGTACGAGAAGATGGAAACGAGGACGGACAGTTATTGTTACTGTAAACCAAAGTTATTACAGCTAAAGTTCATATTTGTTTCTCTCATGCAAAGAGACTAAGACTTTAAGTCTGAGGAGAGCTCAGCTGACAGCGGGACTGATGTAGTTCCACACCGAGCGTGTTGTGCTGAAACGCCTCTGACGGACATGAAACTGTCCCGATGAATCATCAGAACAAAACCTAAACATCTGCTTCTGTGATAAAAAGTCAGAGCTACGAGCAGCCTGAGGACAAACAAACTGACAGAGAGAACTACGGCTCCCAGGGTGCATTTCACTCACAAAGCTTCACCTTCTGCTGTGAGCTCTGCTAAAGGACAATTTAAACATCTGCTTCAAATCGACGCCGCAGTCACCTTAAAAATGTAAATACACGTTGCAGCAAAGCAGAACGCACAAACTGTGATTGGCTCGTCTCATTTCGAAACTAAATATCCGACGTTACACGACAGAATAATAGAACATGATAGATACACAGGGTGATATGTTAAGTCTTTATACATTTTAACTGTTCTAAATTCTTCAGATTATATAATGCTTCAGTATGACGTTTGATTTATATTGAAATGTTAGATTTGTGAATGTCACATTTTTTCAGATAGAGGTTTAAATGAGCTGTACTTTACAATAAATATCAATCTTTCCATAAAAGAATATAATATTTATTTTTCGTAAATATCAAAAGTCAAGTTCTTGAAGAAATATCTGAGACAAACACAAAATTAAGGGTATGGTAGGTCGTCCGAAAGTTGGCTGCTGTATTTAAACCCTACGCAGGTTAAGGAGCCCGATTTGGCTGTGAGGGTTCACTCCCAGCGAGGGTCTAGTTTCAGAAAGAGGAAACAAAGAAGGAGGTCAACACATTGAAACTTCAATGCCAACTAGCGTTCTGGCAACGTAACCGCAGAGCAATGCAGACACCAACACACACTGCACGTGACGGCACGCCGTCAGCCACGACGCAGACGTATAAACTGGCCTGAACGCTGAGCTAAAGCTGAAAATCAGTCAGTCCATCATTGTGACAGTCCGAAGGCCAGAGGGCGCTGCAGTAAGGTAACACAGTCAACCCGTTAGCCTGCATGCTATTTGGACCCAAACCCGTTACACCGAGACTTACTTTGACATTTAGTTTTAATGTTGGGTCACCGGAACAATTCCAGGTCGGATTCATCCAACTGTCCAAATACCTGCTGCTCAGTAGAGGATTTTCAGCGAGGTTAAAAACTGGGATCTCACAGAATGAACTGATGTTTAATGTTTTACTCTTCAGAACACACACACCAGACGCTTCAGTCCAGACCAGGACCGCACACTCTGCAATTGGGATCTCACAGAATCTCACGTGATCAAACGTGACTTCAGACGGAAAGAAACACGAACGCCGAGCTGAAGTCCACCAACAGGATCCTCGTGTTTGTCCCTGGAGAGTCGAGGTGCTGCGGGATGTAGTGCAGTCCCACGCTGAGCGCGTCATCCACTGAGCTGTTAGCCCGGTAGGCAAACTGCAGGGGCTCCAGCACGGGGCCAGTAAAGACCTTCAGGGGGGCCAAAACTTGATGAACTCGAGGCTCAGAAGAGGGAATCAGCAGGTTTATACATTTAAAGAGCTGATGCACAACACGCTGGGGACGCTTGCTCTCATCGGCCGCTGAAGGTTTCTGATCAGGGAGGCTTCAGGTTCTGTCTTGAACCCGTCACACTACAGGATCGTCTGGGCCGAGAATCTGAACGCCCCTGTTATTGCTGGGAGGGTGAAACAGATCCAAAATCGACCCAGTGATTCCTTTATCAGGTCTGCAACTAACAATTATTTTCATTGTTGACTAGTCAATTTGTTATTTTCTTGATTAATCGATTAGTTGTTTGGTCCATAAAATGTCAGGAAATTGTCGACTGCTGTTTCCCAAAGATCCAGTTTACTCTCATAAAAGAGTAAAGAAATCAGGAAAAAAAATCACATTTAATCTGAAAAAATGAGTCAAACTGATCAATTGATTGCTGATTAATTTAAAAGTAGATTTTCTGATTTGCAGCTCTGCTGCTCATGAAGCTGGTTTCAGTCTGGTGAACGTCACCTGCTCATTACGCTCTTCAAGGTGTTTAACTGACTTAACTAAAACGCCGCGGTTCGTCCTGAGCGGAGCGTGAAGATTCTTTTTCTGCTTCTGTGGTTTTTTCATCCCGATGACGGCGCTGGAGGTTCTTCCTCTGTAGTCGTCGTGGTGTGGAGGTCTGGACGACAACAAGAAGAATATCTGGAGTCTAACCGCTGTTTCCTG